TATGGCCATGGTGGTCATCAGTGAGTGGAGTGCCTCAAATGTTTAGAATAATTAAAATAAAATAAATGTTGTCAACTAAAAATTTTGAACGTCATAGCTAGCTAGACACTATTTACAATTGAAAAAAAAAAAATTATAAAGCATAATACTATAATCCTATGCTTAAAATGTATTTTCTTGTGGCCGCCTGACAGCAACCTGTAAATCTGGTGCGACAGTGACTGTGTTAATAAGTAAATGTTGTTCAAATTATATCGTGTTTGATATCATTTTCATCAGAAAAATCTCACCAACGTGTTAAAAAAAATTGCAGATGAAAAAAAGTAAAATTAAAGAAATTATATTTTTCTATTATGATTTGTCGAGCCGTGAAATCTCGTAAAGGAAACCGACTGGTGTAGCGTTACACCCATAAGGCGTAGGACCATCTATACTGTCACTTGTAGAATCCAAACTTACTGACTCTTGTAGAGAATTTACTGTACTTTGCGCGAACTTTAAATTTTTCTCTTCAATTTATCGAATTAATTGCAATTCATTCGCGCACAGAGAATTACGAGTAATTTATATCAGCGCGTTCACGGTAAACCGGAGAGTAACTTTTGGCTCTGTAACTTTTCAGCCGGAACGAAAACTAAATCTTGTATCTTTAATGCCATTTCGTAATTTCGTTTTGAGCACACCGGCGGTGCTTGACGTTCGGTTCGATTCGAGAAAATAGGATTTTGCAGGTGGATTCCATTTTTCCTAGTATCTAGAGCAATATGACGGGGGGGACAATGTAACCGCGATTCGAAAAGCTGATCGTGTTTTCTGATAATGATTTACGATACGTAATATTCGGACTTCGTTTCCGTTCCGTTTTTGTAACGGCCGGTTCGGTCAGACGTTACCGAAATTGCTTCTGCAGTTCGAAATTCTACCTCGTGACGTTTTTACAGTGCCGTGTATTTTTTAGAGACATCCAAAGTAAATACCCAGCGTAAATACCGATGGATTTAACAGAGAGAGAGAGAAGTAACAGAGAACGATCGTCGAAAATGGAAATAACAAAAAAGTTAGCGTATACGCGAGAAATTTATTTTCCTTTGCACGAGTCAGCCATCGGATAATTTAACGTTTCGTTTTTCCACATGTTTCTTTGTACTCCAAGATTAATCAGCTACACTTTTGCAGTGAAACTTTTGTAAGCCCACAATTCCGTTTCGTTTAATACTATTTTAACGATACAAAAAAGAACCTGAATTTTACATTTCTAAATTCTCCAAAATAATCACGCCTACCGCCATAACAGCGCCATTAGAGTGCAAAGGGTTAAATACTATTTACACCTCTTCCGAAAACAGCGTTCACAAATCTGCTGAAAAAATAAAATTGTACGAACGGAAAATTTAAATCTTCCGAAATTCCCGCGCCTCTATTTTTAATCGGCTTTTCGTACCCGATTCAACGGTAATCTCTCGCGCGTATCTCTATTTTCCGTTGATAAAAAATACAAGAGAGAACCTCTCCCCTAAATGACAGAAGAATAATTTTCAGTCAAAGAAGCTTTCGCAAACTCTTTCTCAACTACCACAAAGCCGGTGATCCTCTTCTCTATCAATTCCAGTTACACCTCGCGCAAATCCCGAGGAGTATCAAGAGAAACTGTTCCATCGCTCACGCGGCGTAACCAGCGAGAAAACAGCCGAAAGATCCAAAGTTATCCTCCACCCCCGCGTAAACCATTAACCCCCCACATCAGATCCATTCAACGTTGCAAACAAAAGGCGAGGCTAGGTTGGCAGCTGGTTTCGGTGCCAACGAGGAGTGACTTTTAATAACCGACTGCCTCCGCGACACGGTTAAGGCTTACTTAAACAGACAAAGAGAGAGAGAGAAACAGTGGAAGAAAGAAGAAGAAGAAGTGGCAGAAAAAGAGGCCAAGAAAGACGTGGTGCCTTGGAGATTGTTGGCAACGCGTATCGAGAGGGTTTGTCGCGAGCCTGAAAATGGAAACCGAGGGTTGGCAAGCTCTAGACAGAGGATGCAGAAGGGCGGATCCTTTTGTTCTTGGCGGTCGTTTTGTTTCAGGATTACGAGTTTATGAAGTATTCACGTTTATCTGCGACAACTACATGACCGTGGGCTGGGGAAAGGGTGACGACGAGTGAGTGAGGAGAGATAGAGTATAGAGATGACAAACTGGAGGGAGATAGCAAAAACCGTGGCTGGATGTCTGTTAATCTGCTAGCGGTTCTGCTGATTTCGAAATAATTATCGCGTTAAACTGCTGCTTCGCGTTTAATTCCTATCCGTTCTGCTTCCTAGCTACGCCGACTCTAAATAACGCCCGGAGTTCAGCTGATTTTTATCGTCTTACTTGCGCGATCCACCGGCGAAATCTTTTCGCAGCTGGAAAATTCACCGGGATTCGAGATGAATGGCCAAGAAAATGTGCACTTGTGAAATTTTTGACGATGGAATTTTTGAAATATTAATGGGTAATGGTTGTATTAGCTGAAGTAATTTCTTCTTTCTACTGTAAGAAAGGTGATAATAGGAAAGTTAATAATAAAAAATTCATGGGAATGGAAATAACTGACCACGAAAACGTGGAATTTTTTAAATATTAACGGTGATATTAATAATGTAAAAAATGGTATTGGATTACTACAGCTACGTGAGTTGAAGTGATCTCTTCTTTTACCAGGAAGTTAACGATAAAGAGCAAATTCCATGCTAATAGGTGGTAAATTACTAGCTTCTTTTGACTAACACACTAGTCTACCGCGGCAGACTATTACCTGATTAGACGGCGAATTAACGACAGGTCTCATTAGTAATTACACGATTAAAGGAACCGGAAGAAAGGAAAAACCGCTAGGCGAAAACGACGAACCGAAATTCCCTGCTTTCTAATTAAACGTCTCATGTTCAGCGGTGTTCTCTTTTAATTTACATTCAATTGAACTATTTAATCTTTCCATCCGCTAACTACACTGCATTCACTAGCATCGTGTAAAACCACTTCAACGTAGAAACTTCATGTTCCACATTTTCCTCGATTAACGTATCAGATACTCCTTGCACGCTTCGAAATTCCGATTGTTCGTTGACACAACAGGAGTTCGATGTCTAAATAAAATCTAGGATAATTATTTTCCAAGGAATTTCATCCGTAAAGAATGTTCCACCATTCGTGCGTGCTTGGAAAACACCGTTACCATTGAAGGAGGGTGGTAACGGCGAGAGGGTTAATTTAACACCGATAAAAATGCACCAACGATGTAACGAGGGTTCATAATAGACTCATTAACGGTAACTTAATAACAGACGCAGGTCGACCACCTCTTACCTTATTTTAGATACGACGGTGGGCGTGAACTCCAGCTGAAGGAATCCTAACTCCGACGACTTAACATCCTCCAGACTACTGTATCTTATATACGTACAGGGCGGCGTAGGAATATCTGAAACAAAAAGTGAGAAATTTATGAAAAATATGGTCTCGACAGGTGACAGTATTGCAAGAATTATTTCTGGAAAAAGTCGATTCCTACATTTATCAAGTTTGAGAGTTTAGATGCTTAACCGCGATCGCGCTCCTGGTATTCGACATCGAAAAGTGTCACCAGTAAATTTTATTCTATTTCTTATAATTTGTCTACTCTTTTATTAAGAAAAGTGAACAAAAATCCTGCACATAATTAAGTTTGCCTTCGTTTCGCGTTATTTCCAAACAGTCGTATTCGGTGAAAATGTCCGAAACATTCGACGTGAAATGAAAGAAGCGCGATCGCGCCGCTTGGCACTTTCGGTCAGACTTCTGCAATAACCCGTGGCACTCAAACGGTTAACACCTTGACTTACGATTTCTACACACTATGCATCAAACTTGATTTGAACTTGAATTATCAAACTTGAAAGAATTGAATAAAAATTTAAATCTTGACCAAAATCTGTGCCAAAAGTCAAACAAATTATCGTGAACGAAAGGGTTAACTAAAATCGAAATTCCTCTAAATTTCCACTTTTTCCATAAAATCCGTAAATCTCGCGTCACTCAACAGATCTCGCGCTAAAAGTATCCAAGAATACTCAAAGTTAAAGATCTAATTTATTCATATTTTCCAGCGTAACAATACGTTATCCCGGCAGGATTCGCGCTAATTCCGTATTTGAACCATGTTCCGCGGTATGAAATCGATCATCGCCGTTTTCGACTTCTGGCTGTGTCGGTAGGCCGGCTTTGTTCGCCGGCGGAATCGCGTGAAAGGCTGGAAGGGCGGCGCTCGAATAACGAGCCGACGGCGTTAACGTCGAAAAATCAATAGGGTCGCGTGCATTCCTCATAAATAAATATGAATATCCGCGTATCCTGGCCCAGTACCGAACGAGTATCGAGCGTAAATTTATTATAACGGTGGCAGCGTGCCACACACCATCGATCCTCGATCCTGCATCAAAGCAGAATTACGCCGATGATTTCCGTGTTCCGAAACCCAGCGGATCGGTGAACTTTGCTCCAACGTGGCTCACGCCACGAACATTTCGACGAGAAGTAAAAGCGGCTAAAAGTAGGAAAAGGTTAATTGGAATTTTCCAATGTTTAACGGTTGTTATAAAATTTCCATCCGTTTAAACCACGATTCCAGTCCTATTATGCTTTTTAGCGACTCTCTTTCTCTTCTTATTTCACGTGAAAATAATCGTTCACGTCAGAGTGATATTTTAGAACAGCACACACCGCGGCGTAATAGTATGTCAAGAATGGGATAAAAGTTTCCGCGAGCATCAGGAACTCCGCAGAACAATGCAATATTCAACTTCTGGAAATTCGAAATTCAGAAAGATTCCTCTGTAGCCCCTAGAAGAGAATTCTTGTGTGAAGGCTCTTGTTCTTAAATTCCCGAAGGGAGATCCTTTTCCTCAAGTAAAGAGCCACTGACGAGGAAAAAGAGAAACCGACGAGTTTTTCAAAAGAAATGACGAAACCACTCTTTTCATCCGTCTTGCGTAATGCCTTCGTCAAAAGCATAACCCTGTTCTTTTTTTTATCACGTAGATTCTTGAGGAAAGGTGAAATTAAGCGATACATTTTCGTTTAAAAATTCATTCCTTTTCGATTTACGAAGTTTCATTCACGAATAAATCGGAACGTGGAAAAAGTAGAATTTCGATTTGCGATAAAGTAGGAGAAATCGTTTTCAGAGTGTTCTGCTCACGGATCGGCGGTACAAAGTAGAATCCGGTGGACGTAACGGAATCGGCGAACGGTGGAAATCCGCCCTGCTTAAACAAATATCTGCTGAGACAACAAGGAGAACGAGAAGAATGAAAACCTTGCTGGGATAATATAACTACACTGTCGTTCCATTCGTCGCTTCATGCGCTCGTATAACTTTCCCATTGTTATTAAAGGATTATTGTTAAATATACACTTCTGCTGGAGAATTTCACCTGGCAAGCGCGAAATATATATTCTCGGCAATGAAATAATATAATATCACCTTCGTTTAATTAACGAAATCTCAATTGAAAATTGCTCCAAGTAGTAGATACGCGTACGATTAATCCTCCAGAAGATCACTAGTTTGTAGAAAGTATTACAATTCGGTGTATATAAACAGAACGTTAATTCAAGAGAGGAAACGTTTCCTTTTGTTTTTAGCATCCTGACTTTTTAATTATCATTACGAGAATCTTGCTACGAATTGTTCACGTGCTCTCGAACAAAGAACATTCGGACAATAAGAATAGCGGAGAAGAAAAAATGGAGGAAAGAAAAGCAAGTAGCGACAGTGAAGAGACAATGGGTCGCTGCATCGAATTAAATCGCGATAGGTCTGAAAGAGACACCGGGATCGAAACTTTTCATTATTCCGTGCACCGTCCTCGAAAATGATCAAACGTTGCTTGATCGACCATTCGATCAATTATCCTCCGTCCTGTTTGCAGAAACTGAAACAACGGTCGGAAGAAAGCGAAGCAAACTGGAAGAACGGCGAAAAAGGAACGTTCGAAACATTCTCACCGTTCAAGTGTGTATACCTCCTTCTGCTTGCTTCAATTACTCTAATTAAAGTGGCGAATCGGCACAGTATTAACCTTAGAACTCCAGAGTCCTGAGGATTATTTTCTAAGAACTGTTTGCACAGAGGAAATAATTCTAATTTTAAATTTTCTGACTTTCAGGTTCGAAAATTCACACTGAATTTAGAGGTCTTAGCACAGTATTAGCCTTAGAACTCCCAAGCCTCGAGGATAATTTTTCAAGAATCGTTTGCACAGAGGAAGTAATTCACACTCGATGTAGAAGTCTCATGGTCGATCAGTGAGAAACTAGCTTCAAAAATTCCCAGCGAGAAAAAGATCAGTCGTAACAGTCTCTCGCGGCGGACCATTGTCCCAAACAGTTGGCCGCTTGTAAAAAAAAATCGCTCGAGCCAAGAAGGACGTCGTGGCGACGTGGAAAGGCGGCGAGACAAGCGAGAGGGTGCCGTCGAAGAAACGCAAACTTCCGAATCCCGAAACACGGGGGATGGGGGCAGCGATTGTTGGTGTGCACGAGGCAAAATAGAAGGGGTGCAACTTCTAGCCGGCGAGTTTCGAAGGCGCCTCGAGCACCTTTGAGCCCGGGAGTTTATACTTATTGCAGACAGCTCGCTTTAAAGCGCCAAATACCTCTCCCGAAAACTCCCTTTTCTGGGTCGCTTCGGGCTTGGACGGCGGGGGAGTAGGCGATAAGTGAGGAGAATTTGTCGTGTTTTAAGCCGAGCCAACGGGGGTAGATAGAAAAAAAGGGGGCAATTCACGGCAGCGTGACTTTCGACGGCTACGAAAAAACGGCGAAACGTCAGGTTCCCGATGAACCTGATCAACGCCAGGCGTAAAAGAACCTCATCGATTTTACAATCTCCGTGCCTCCTGCGCCCTCCCTCTCTCACCCTTCACAGGCTATTACCGCCTCCGCGTTCCCCACCTGATAACTCCGTGTCCCGAAATTTTCTCTCTCCCTCTTTTCCACGTTAACCTTCTCTTTTTTCCCCTTCCTGTCTCACGCTTGTCCCGTCTTTTTCCTTTTTCACCTACCCCACCTCGTCGTCAGCCTCATCCCTGCACCCTTCTCTCCTTCTCTGTCTGTTGAAAGCTTTTTGTCGGGCCGTATTATGTTCTGCTGATTCGCAGTTAATGAGGCGAGAACAGACCCGTGAAGCTATCCTGTATAAACCGAGGGTGCTCGCAAATTATGAAAAAATTCATCTATCTCTCTTCCTTTTCGTCTCTCTCTCTCTCTCTCTCTGTCTTTCTAGCTGCTCGTTTCTGCCGTCCGGGATTATGGAGAATTCTGCGTCATGTAGCGTGAGAGGAGCGCGTTTCGAGGCGAAAAATCGAGGCGAGTACTGGTACACGCGTGCACGTAATTTCGTGACGACGAAGCCTCACGTGCACGATTATTTCCTGTCTCTTGAAAAACTTTTGCCTCGGTAAATAGGCTTTTCCTAACATTTTTTTTTTTACATGTTTTGTGGGTTTGCTTTTTATACCGATGAATATTCACGAAGGACGGAAAAGTTGTGGAGTCTTCCTTGTGAAACAGTAATCGAAGTACTACATTTCGAGCGAATACAAGCTGAAGACGTAAGTGACACTCCTCGAATTATTCAAACTTACGACTGCTGCACAATTTCACTCTCGCGCGAGCTCAATCTTAATGTAACGTTGATATTCTATTCACGAAGTGAAAAGTTTATTTTGAGTGTAATAGATTTCATCGAGTAATCTAATATTTGCAACGAGAAACGGGGGGCTGCGAGTAACGCGTAAATACCGGTGAAAATCATTTTTCCGGTGTTTTCGGTGAAACTGTGTAACGCGATGAAAACCCATACCAACGAACGTTACATGGAATGATCGTGAAAAATATATCGAATGTAGAACGGAGAGAGTAATTTGAAATCGTGTTGCACATGGAACTTCGGAGTGATGGGATTTTGTAATCGAAATTAACGAGAATACACAGCGTTTAACTCTTTACACTCGAGAGGCGACACTCACTTGTCACTTGGTTTAATCCAGCAGTTTGAATGGCGACTGAGAAGCGACATTATGGCGACGTCTTATAGACCAAGACCTCTCATACATCTGCTGGATTATTCACCATTCAGGTGAATAATTTTGACAACAAGTCTGTGGGCTTCCATAAATCGTTCGCACTATTGGGAAATTTAATCAGAAATCAGGGAAGAGATTGAGCCTTTTTGCCTCCTTCCTTCGTTTCTTTCCTAATTATCCATAACAAGCAATGAAATAGTTTATGCTATTTTCCTGTAACTGAGTTCTATAAATCGTTCACATTTTTTGGGAATTTTGTCACAGATTTTAAAAGGGATTACACTTTTCCTCTTTCCTTCGTTTCTGTCCCAATTAATTAATAATTAATTTCTGTCCTAAAATAATAAGCAATGAA